AATAAATCGGATTTTAGGTATGGCCCAATGATCAAGTGGAGGGTCCATTAATTATCATTCCTAAAGTCATTAGGATTTATCGTAATCTTCTAGAATAATCTAGAAAGCTATTTTAAGTTCTAAAGAGATTAGGATTGATAATTATATTTTTATTTGATTTTGAAAAGATAAGAATGTTATTTGGAATAAAACAAGTTTTTTCACAAGGATTAAATCTGATTTAATAAAAGATAAGTACTGACTCTAATTAACCCAAGTCAATTGGAAAATAGACTTCGTAAAGAATTTTATCATACAGCCGCTATCGCAATGCGATAAGTCCATCGCGTCGCGACGGGCCTATCGCTGTGCGATAGAGCCATCGCGTCCGATAGCTCTGTCACGTCGCGATGGAACTAGTTTACTCCGAGTCAAATTCTGACTCTTTTTTTTATTGTTTAAGAACGATTTTTCTCTATGAATAGGGTCGTTATTCCCCGTTTTTAAGTCACCATCAATCACCATCTCTCTCTTCTCTCTCTAAGCTAAAACTTATTCTCTGTCTCTCTCTCTCTCTCTTGATTTCTGAGCCTAGACTTTTCAAAATAAACTATACGTCCATCACGAGACTTTGACACACCTAGCCAAGCTCGAAGTTGCCTTCGTCCTTGACGTGAAAGGTTGATAATTTATGAGGGTTTGGTCATAAATCCTTATTTCAATTATTTTAATTAAATTAATTGTTTGATTTAATATTTTATTGAAGTTTACTAAAGTGTGTATATTTTTAATAGAAAGAGATACGAGGCGACAAAGTTAGTAATTTAATTGCTCTATTTCTTTAGAAAGCATGCTTAGATTATTATTTTCATTCCTAGTATCATGTTAGGATGCTTTTATTGCTTTCTAGTATCATGTTTAGGTTACTTCCTATTCCTTTTATCATGCTAGTATATGTAGGCGTCGTTTGAAGCGCGCCTATGTTAAGCCTTTTGTGAATATGTTTGGCACTTGTCGGAAGTGGGAATTGACATTACGATTAGGGACAATGATTAGGGACAAAGAAAAGTAGGGAGCCGCCAACAAGTTCTTAAGGAACTTGTAAACCGTTCACGGATCATTAAAAGGCAACCCACGAATAAGGGACAACGAAGTCAACAACTATTGTATAATTTAGGGTTTAAACCTTGATTTTTCATGTTTTAGGGCTTGATAACGTACTAATCAAGTTATCTAATTATTCTATGTTTAAATTACATCAAAGTATGATTATTTTGATTATATATAAATTTTCAGATTATTAAAGTTTTGATTTTTATGAGCAAGATATGTTAATTTCATGTTTTTATGCTTCTAAGCCTATAAAATAATTATTGTGGGTATTTTATCATTAAAAAGCTTTGAACTTCAAATTACAACCTCAAGTATAAATTTTTAGATTTCATACTTTTTATTTTGAAGCCTCTAATTACATTGAATTGATATATTTTTGGGTTTTTAACACACTAACTTGCTATATAACAATAATTTCCAGTAATGATGCTTATGGGATCATTTTATATACTTAAACTAAATTTTCAGATTTATTTACTTACTTTAAAGCTGCTGGAATTTCTTGTTATACACTATATTTTCATAATTTTAACATATAAACTTATAGTTGGGATGTTATATTATTAACTTTGACTATTGGGGACAATTTAAAGGCTTTATTTTGATGATTTAAGAGGTTTTAAAGTAGTTTAGTATTGCTGTAAATTTATTTGCTTGGGTTTTGATTTATTTCTCATTGTTTGGTTTAGGAGAGGACTTTGTAGAAGGCGACTTCTAGTTTTAAAGTGGCCAGCCGGATTGTTTACACAAGCTACGTACAAGATATGAAACCTTGCTTGTTGTTTCATGTTTAAGGACAGATTGAGAACTTAGTATCATGTATAGGGTTGACTAGGTTAAATTGTTTGGTTATACATTGTGAATTTCATATGATGTGCACTATTTTATATTGCAAGTATTATTTGTGCTCTAATTATGCAAGGTGCGCTTAAAGGCAAAGGTATGTGATTGGTGTAAAGATTAATTTATTACTCATTCATGATTATGCAAACAGGATGAGTAAAGGAAGAATTCAAGTCTTATAAGACGAGGTTCAGGTTTTGGGGTGCCTTATGCACTCAAGGTGTTTATACACCGAGGTAGTAAAGGAATAAATAATAAATGTTGTTTGTCACTAATAAATCAAGAATTTAAATTGGAAATTTGCCTTGTTTGATTGAATTGTGTTTGGAATGTTTGTATTGTTATGCATATGAGTCATCACCAAGTCTAAACATGTAAATCACATAAAGTGCAAGATGGATGAGCAATAAAAATTTGGATTGATGCAAATCTGGAGTAATGACAATCAGGGGCTGGGGTACATGGGGTATTAGCCGTGTACTTTTATCGAGGTCATCTGATCTACGAGTCTCCTATTTCAAATATTTTTTTTAAAACTAGGAGTTAGGTGAAATCTCATACTAACTACGGTCACGGAGTCGCGCTCGTGGTCGTTGGATGTTTATTGATGTTTCCAAAAGGAGGCATGGGGTTTTTCTTTTATTGATGTTCCAAATGGGACATGGGTTGGACAACCTTGTCTATTGCTAAATACAAGGAAGTAAATAAATGAGTTAGTTAATATTAACTAGTGAAGTCTTAATAAATTTGATGGTTGAATCAGTGTTGAGTCTATAATTTAATGATGCTTATGCTTGATTATTAGTAGCATGTTAGGTATTTCTTAATTTATTTCGCAGCTTGTATGTACTCAGCTTTGCTGATTGCGTGCTTTTGTGTGTGTCTTTCTTTGGTCATGGCCTTCGCCTTTCAATGACCCTGTGACGCTCCAATTTTTACACTTGTAATATTGGGGAGTAGATTAACCACAGGTTCTTACACATGCAGCATCTGTTTCTAGATGGTGGGATCTTGAGTAGAGAGTTGGTTACTTTTCTTATTTTTATTGCTATTTACATTTAAAGTTATTTAAACTCAACTTTACTTTCATACTATTTCTATTGGTTTAAGTTTTGAATAAGGGCCTTAAGGGTTCCAAGTTGTAAGATTTAATTTGGTTTTGGTTATTGGTTTTGAAACTAATATATATTTGTTTTAGTTTTTCCGCTGCTAATTTCTAAAAAAGCCTTAACGTTTGAACACGTGACGGTAGCACGCCAGTAATTCTCTTGGAATTGTTCAGGTTATTCACAGTTTTTTAAGAGAGAATTATTGGGGTGTTACAAAGTGGTATCTGGGAGCTTAGGTTAGATTTAATTACCACTAAATCCAATTAGCTTAGTATGACTTAGGCGCCTATTCAATGATTGAAATTTTGAATTTTTAAAGACTAATTTTTTTTAAAAAACTAAGTATGTTTTAAACCATTTTATTTACAACAATTTTGAAGTTTATTTTGTCTACTTGATGAGCTTTAGGTAGACTTAAGAAGGGAATGCATGCATATTTCATATATATCTTTGCATTTAATTATCACATGAAGTGTTATTTTCTTATTTATCTAACGTGTTGTAATTATGTTCTAATTGATTTATTTTGTGATGTGCTTGTATTATGCTTTTTGAATATTCGTTGCGTCGGGTTCACGTAGAAAAGGGATGAGCGACTTAGTAATCACGTCTGAAAACATGAATAATGGTACTAGAAACAACCCCATTGTTGTGTCTGAGGATGAGAATGATACTCGAAGTGAAGATAATCTAGAGAGGTTTGAAAGGACTATTACGCCAACTAATCCTGATGAGGAAGACATCCTGATGAGGAAGACTACCAGTGCATACATGAGTTTAAGACAGAAAAGAATAAAAAGCATAAGGTTAAAACCTATCAAAGAATTTTCCATGAGTATTCTCTTATTGAATTCCCAGATGAGGATGAGCTTGAATGGCTACAACCACCACCTGAAGATCCAAATGCTGGGAAGAGAGCTACTAGGATTCCGAATCTGCTCTACAAGGCAATAATTATTGAAGACTCGGATGATGAAAATGATCCTGATTTTGATGTTAATAATTATAATGAGAAGAAAGATAAGAACATCAATGTGATACCTTGAGGGTTATTTTTTTTAGGGTGGAGTTAGCATGAATAAGACATTTGCCATTGATGATGGTTATTAGAACCTCATTATAGTATGATTTGGATGATTAATTTTAATAAGTAGCTAGTGCTACAGAGTTATTATTTGGGATTGATACCTTTATATAAGTCATTATAAGAAGTTGATATTTTACTTTAAGAGCTTCATTTTACTTTTATTTGTGAGCAAAAGCAAGTTTAATTTTTGTGATCATATAATTTTGGGAAGAATTTCTTCTTCTATGATTAAATTTAGTAAGAGTGTCGTGGGATGGGGAAATCATTTTCTTAACTTCATTTAATCCTGCGTATGAATCGTGTTTTTATTGTGTGGTTTTGCATGGAACAAGGGGGTTCAATATTAAAGTACCCTTTTGAACCAATTTATGTGACAAATGTAATATTTTGATTCAATGAATATGTGTGAATAGTATTTGGGTTTCATTTAAAATGGAGTGCATATTTATTTTATTTCAGGCGTAGAGCTAGAATGGCAGAAAACGCTACCTTAGCTGATGTTATTCGTTTGTTGGCTGAAAATCTAAACCAAATCAGGGAGACCAAGTCTACCCCCAAGAAGAGATGTTTAAGAAGCTGGCCCAGGTTAGGCCACCAGTTTTTAGGGGAGGTGCTGACCCTACTTTCCTAGAAAACTGGATTCGAGAGTTTGACAAGCTGTTCGTGGCACTCAACTGTCCCGAGGGTATGAAGTGGACCAGGCCGCTATGTACCTTAAGGACGAAGCTGATATCTGGTGGAGAGACAATGCTGTGACCGTTAGGGCCAAACTTAAATTTGGGTGGGAAGTGTTTAAGACCTCATTGAGGGACAAGTTTTACCCTCCATTCTTGAAGAAATAGAAGGCTCAGGAGTTTATAAGCCTGACAATGAATATGTCAATCTCTGAGTATTATAATAAGTTTATGACCCTTTCTAGGTTCGCTCTCAAGGTTGTACAACCTGAAGAACTGAAGCCTCAGAGGTTTGAGCATGGATTAACTGACGAGTTACAGAAAGACCTAGCCGGAAAAGTTTTTAAAACCCTTTACTTTTATGAGAGAGCTGCACACCTGTACCATCTGAATACTAGGAGTGCTAGTGCGAGTGCTAAGGTTGGGGAGAAAAGGAAGGACTTTGGAAAATCTAAGAACCAGAGTAACTTTAAGAGGCCTAGGAATGGGAACTCAATTGATAGGGGTAACCAAAATGTTAGCAGTTCTTCTAATGCTAACAATGGAGAGAGGACCTACCACAGTAAGAGGTGTAGGAGAAACCACCCCGGGAGAGACTGTGATGGGAATTTGGTGACTTGTCGGTTCTGCAACAAAAGGGGGCACAGGAAATATGAGTGTTACACTAAGCAGAAACAACAGGGAAATGGTGGGAATGGTGGGAACACCCAGCATAGGCCGAACAACTTCAACAACCAGGGTAATAAGGGAAATGGTCAGAATAGGAAGTTTGAGAATGGTAGCAACAACAACAACAGGTCTGGCAACAACAACAACAACAACTCAGGAAACAACAACAATGGTTACCAGGCCAGAAACAACACTCCCGGGCTCTTGTCTGTGATGAGCAAGGGAGAAGCTGAGAGGTTCCCAGATGTAGTTACTGGTACTTTTTCTATTTATTCTTTCTCTGTCAACACTCTGTTTGACTCTGGAGCAGCTTACTCTTTCATTTCTAATTCTGTTGTGCGCAAGTTAAACTTAACTGAATCGAGTCATGTTGATGTATCAGTCAGTCTGCCTACGGGCAAACTTGTTCATTGTAATAATATATTCAAAGGCTTGCCTTTGAAAATAGGAGAATCTATCTTTCCATCAGATCTTATTGAGTTTAACCTAGGGGACTTAGATGTAATTCTAGGGATGGATTGGCTGAGTTTATACAAGGCCAAGATAGACTGTGAGATGCAGAGGGTGCAACTGAGTGATCCTTTGGGTAAGGCAGTGTCTTATAGACGTTTAGGGAAGCCTAAGGGTTTTGGGATTATCTCTGCTTTGAAGGTCAAGAAGCTAGTGGATAAGGGATGTCCATTGTACTTTTGCTGTGTTTAAGATTTGAGTATGAGTGAGAGTAGGCGGATGGAGGATGTACCCATTGTGAATGAGTTTTTAGATGTCTTTCCAGAAGATATTTCGGGAATGCCACCTAAGAGGGAAGTTGAGTTTACCATTGACTTAGTTCCAGGAGCTGCACCTATCTCAAAAGCACCTTGTAGAATGGCACCAGTTGAGATGAGTGAGCTAAAGGATCAATTGCAGGAGTTGTTAGACAAGGGGTTCATTAGGACCAGTGCATCACCTTGGGAAGCACCTATTTTATTTGTGAAAAAGAAGGATGGAAGTTTGAGGCTATGTACAAATTACAGAGAGTTGAATAATGTGACTGTGAAGAATAAGTACCCTCTACCTAGGATAGATGACTTGTTTGACTAGCTGAAGGGGGCAAGTGTATTTTCGAAAATTAATTTGAGGTCTGGGTACCATCAGTTAAAGGTTGCAGATAAAGACATTCCAAAAATAGCCTTTAGAACTCGGTATGGACATTACGAGTTTACGGTCATGCCTTTTGGGTTAACCAATGCACCAGCCATATTCATGGACTTGATGAACCGAGTGTTTCATGAGTACTTGGACAAGTTTTTAGTCGTGTTCATTGATGACATTCTGGTGTATTCGAAAAATGAGGAAGAACATGCTAAGCACTTGAGAACTACCCTTGAAACTCTTAGGAAGAACAAGTTGTATGCTAAGTTTTCTAAGTGTGAGTTCTGGTTGGAGAAAGTTGCATTTTTTGGGCATTACATTTCGAAGGAGGGTGTATCCATGGATCCTGCGAAGGTCAAAGTAGAAAATGAGTGGCCTACACCTAATAATGTGACTGATGTTCGTAGTTTCTTGGGATTAGCTGGATATTATAGAAGGTTTGTTAAGGATTTTTCGAGGATAGCCAGACCCATGATTACCCTCATGAAGAAGTAGAGCAAGTTTGAATGGAACGAGAGTTGTGAATCAGCTTTTCAAACCCTAAAAGAGCGATTGACCACTGCACCAGTGCTGGTATTACCTGATGGGAGAGAAGGATTCGAATTGTATAGTGATGCCTCGAAGCATGGCCTGGGATGTGTCCTACAACAGAATGGAAAGGTGATCGCGTATGCATCGAGACAACTGAAGAAATATGAAGTCAACTACCCTACCCATGCCTTGGAGCTTGCAGCAGTTGTGTTCGCTTTGAAGATTTGGAGGCACTACCTTTATGTTGTTTCTTGTAAGATCTTCACGGACCATAAGAGTCTAAAGTACATCTTCACCCAAGATCACTTGAATATGCGGCAACGTCGATGGATAGAGTTTCTCACAGACTACCATGTCCACATCCAGTATCATGAGGGAAAGGCAAATGTTGTTGCAGATGCCCTTAGTAGAAGGTCAAGCCATGATGTCAATGCTTTAATTGTGGCCAATGAGTTGTGTGAGGATATGAGAAGATTAAACCTTGAAGCTGACAAGCCTGGCATTCGGTAAAGAGCAGTTGGCCGTTATTTGGCCTCCCAGGAATTCTGTACACGACTCCAAGACCTTTTGATGGGGGGTGGATAGCTGCTCAGAGATGTATCGCCCACGCTGCTGGCTGGAAGAAGGAGGACTGGGCTAAAGTCAAAAAAGCCTTTAACGATGAAGCTTACAAGATACCTTCCGGCTTTGAGCAACAACAATTTGCTGAAGAGGACCTCTTTAATTATGAGTCGAGTGTTGATGACGGCCCTAAAGACCCTAGCATCTTAAATTCTCCATGAGAATAGACAAGCTTCAAGGGGTGGGCAGTCATCACCGACATCTTCTTGTGGGTCTTGCATAATTGGGCCTTATCAGCTTTAACTTGAAATGTATTATCATTTGCTTTTGTTTAATTGTTTTTTGACAATGTTGTTTTATCGGCATATACCCTTTTTTGTGGTGATGCCTGTCGATTGTCATCTTTTATTAATGTGAACACGTTGTGTAGTTCTTAAATATCAACACTTTATGCTGCATCAACTTCATAACTATAAATTACTTATCTTAGTTATCAGCAACTCTCGTCTACCATCACAAATTTTATACTTATTAAAATTGATGTAAAAAATTTCAATTTTCCGTAATTTAACTAGTAACTTAATTAATTTCACAAGCTTATAATATTATCGGACTTAATTTAATTAAATACACAAGCTTATAACATTATCGGCCTCGCACCTCGAGCGATCCTATCAGTTGTTTACTTTCCCATTTTTCATCTTATCCATATTATCTTATCTCTTGCCCCCATAGTGCATATGTTTGTTACACAATTATATGCACTTGTTGCTGGTTCACTGTACAATATCGATCACTCATTGCATTATTTTCATAGTCAGTTAAGTATCCTCTCGGCGATCGCACTCAAAGTTAGGCCTCCTTTCTGCATATACCCGAGTCAATTTTGCCGGTATTATACTATGAACCAGCAACCTCGTGAGTTAATGATTACAACTGATCAGGTTGTAAGCGCATTAACTTCACAGAAGCGGTTTTGAGCTGTCCGTCCCACTTAACGGTGGTCTGTTAAGTGGAGGATGCCTATTTCTGACACAATTTTTGATAACTTTCTTGTATTCATTACTGATATTTTTCATATTACATACTAATATCAGCTTCATTGCTTATAAAATGATTTTACACCACCTTGCTTACACAAAATATTTCTTTAATACTGTCGTGTTCCAAATGTTCTTCAATGGCTTTCCATCCATTGTTTCCAGGTAAAATGAACCTTGCTTTACCATATGTCTAATACGGTACTATCCTTCCCAGTTTTTTGTTAACTTCCCCTCTTCATTGCCCCTTCCTATTGCAGCTGTTCTTCGCAACACTAGATCTCCCTTGGTCAATGGTCGATAACTGACCCGTATGTTGTATGCCCTTGACATTCTATCTTTGTAAGCAGTTGATTTAACTGCCGCTTTCTCCCGCACTTCCGGTAGGAAATCCAGTTGTTGTCGTAATAACAAATCATTTTGCTCTTCGCAGTAGTGCTGAATTCTAAATGTTGGCAACCCCACTTTTGCCAGCAAATCTGCCTCTGTTCCAAAGACTAATGTGAAGGGTGATTCACCTGTAGCTTCTTTAACTGTTGTCCTATTTTCCCAAAATATCTCAGGTATCAAGTCTACCCACAACCCCTCTGCATCTTCAATTTTCTTTTTTATTGCCGTTATGATTTGCTTACTCGCCGCTTCTGCCTGGCCGTTTGACTGCGGATGGCAGACTGCAGCATAGGCAAACTAGACTTTGTACATCGACAAGAGTTCCTTTATCGGCTTACAATCAAACTGAGATCCATTATCAAATACCATTGCCATCGGCAGCCCGAATCTTGTGAAGATGTTTTTCCAAATGAACTTTCTCACCTCTGATGCTGATATCTTTGTTACCGGTTCAGCCTCTATCCACTTTGTGAAATAATCTATGGCCACTAGAAGAAATTTTCTAACACCTGTTGCAGACGGAAACATCCCTACTATATCCATTCCCCATTGAGAAAATGGGACTGGATTAAGTATCGGCATCAAATCATTTGGCGGTAAGTTGATAGCAGGTGCGAATTTTTGACATTTTTCACATTTTTTCACATATCGGATGTCATCTTCATTCATAGTTGGCCAATAGTACCCCCTTCTCATTGCTTCTCATGACAGAGCCCTTGCTCCGAGATGGTTACCGCAAGTACCCTCATGTATTTCTTCAATTAACCTGGCAGATTCTAAATCAGTTATACAGCTCCGTTACGGCAATGAAAAGCTTCTTTTATACAACTGTCCCTAATGCAAAATGAACCACACACTATCTTTTCACAGCTTCCTCGATTCTCCCTTATCAAGTGGCAATGCCCCGTATATGAGAAATGCCAATATCTTATCGAACCAATGGGTGCCGTTATTGACACAGAGCACTTGTTCTGACTCATCATCTATACTCTTCTGCTTCAAGACTTCTACCATGATTTTTCTTTCCAAGTTGTTAAACCTCGAGCTTGCCAACCTGGCAAGAGCATCGGCCTGCGCATTTTGTACCCTCGGTACCAGCCTGATCTAAAAGTATTGCAGCTGCGCTGCTAATTGGTTCATCTTTTCAAGGTAATTTATCATTATAGGCTCTCTTGTTTCATATTCTCCAGTATATTGACTGGACACTATATGAGAATCAGTCGTTAGAACTAGCCGTTTTGCTTCGACCGCTACATCCAGTTGAATTCCGGCTATAGCTGCTTCATATTCAGCTTTATTGTTGGTAGCCTTGAATTTAAACTTAATTGCATACTCAAAAATCTTCCCATCTAGGGCCGTTATAAATATTCCTGACCCTGACCCTGTTGATGTTGCGGAACCATCCACTGAAACCTGCCAAGTTATAAGTTGATAATAAATATTTCATATCTTAAACATTTATTGCGGAATGCTTTAAATATTAAAAATTTTAAATTGTTCTGAAATCGCAGATCTTAAATTATAAACCATTGAAAACCTGCCAAGTGCCCAATTCTTCTTCTTCGTCACTGTATGAGGTTTCTACAATGAAATCAGATAGGGCCTGTGCCTTTATTGATACCCTGGGCTTATAGTGTATCTCGTTGTAACACCCCCAAATCTCCCTCTACATGAAATACCAGTATAATACATATAATTATACCGTAGAGATAGACTTAGGCGTATTACCACCGCGTGATTCCGCAAGGCTACTTAACTTACTAAACAAAACAATACTTTGCAGCGGAAACTTCAAAACTCTTCTTATTAATAATAACTATAAATAGAAACCAATATCATGAGTACTCAAATTAAATACAAAGACCAAGATTCCTAAATTAGTGAAACCAAATCCCGGGACTCCATGCATCACTTTATTCACTTCACCTGAAATAACACTGCTTACCATTACGGTAAACAGGGAAAACCAAAACAAATAAGAAGTACGGGTTAGCAAAATATGCTAAGTACGGTAATTGCAAGATAATTAAACTCAATTTATTTGCA